CACATCCTTCTGAATTTTTCGCTCCCTACGCGTATAATCCGCCTCTCTCAAGACCATTTTGTCGAAACTTGCATCTTGTTGAGTGTCTCGTCACTTTGTTAAACAAGAGACCAATATGTCAGAGACATGACTGCTGTGGCTTCGCCTATTTTTGTCCCTATTCTTGATTTCAAACAACATTTGGAGAGCAAAACATCCCCGTCTTGCGGCCGGGTTCCTATTCGAGTATTGCTGGTGCTGATGCTCCTGCAAAATAATTCGGTTTAGTGATGGCGGACTGTCGGCATCTACGTGCAACAGCGACAGATATGGAGGTATTTCACCCCCTGTGCTAGCCTTTACCGCTGCACCTGTGTGCTGCTGCATGGTGTCCTCGAGCACGCGGCAAAGGTCGGCCCTCATTGGAATCGCCCTACAGTTTTAGTGGCTTCTAGACCAACACAAGCTGTTTATAGCTTACTTGTTGTCGATCATCACTTCGCTATTAGTCTTCCTCTACTTTATTGACACGTGTTAGAGTAAAGGAACATACAAATCATTAAAGGATACCAAAATTCGTGTTAGTGTAAACCCAAGCCCTCGTTGCATGAGACTGCTCCCTGATTGTCACACGGCCCCGCAACGTTATCCGCGTATGAACACAGAAGCAACGACCGATTTTGGCTGGACTTGTATACAGCAATGCTAATGTCACAACGTCTTGAGAAAAATTTGGTTCGAAATTCGTTCTGGGCTAGAATCATTAAGATTCGTAGGAGGCTTCCAGCAACCGTACGAAAGGAGCTTCTTCGTAAGTGGGAACTGTGGAAGCTAAGGACTTGAATGAAAATCATTGGAAGATGAACCATATCAAAATGAGAGGGAACTAACGAACACATTAGGCAGATGTGCTTCGTTACCACCTGGCTGGCTTAGTATTTTGCTAGGTAAATGTCATCAAGTAATAGCGTGTCACAGTCAACTGCCGATTTAATGCAAACCTAGTCAGTAGAGGCGACAGCCGAGTCATTTGTACTTAGCTAACTTGGCCCAAGCTGGACTGTACGCAAAGCGGTATTTAAAACACGTAAAAGGGACTAAATAACGGAACTATGTAGCGTACACTTATGCACGCATGCATTCAGACCCCTCTTATTAAGTGCATATGTTTTACTGGCATAGGGAACACGTGATTACAACGAGTTAATCGTCGGCCACGTTATCTCGTCACATTTCATCGCCCTTCTTCCCCATAGCCGCCAAAAAATCTATCGTACTCCTGACTTTCTACAGCATGGCTTTAACGCTTATAATGGGGTCTTCCCTATTTCTGCGTGGTTGGGCTTAATGGGCACTCTGTTTTACTTTTTGGGGTCTTGCTGTTAGAACGACTCACCTACCAATTGCCTAATAGCTACTATATGTTTGCATACGCCATGCGTACAAGATGTATTGGAAAGACACTTGAAAAGGTCTAGAAGTACAATCATGCGGCTCAAGCCGAAAAGAGCTACGCATGTATCGCTCCGATTCTTGCAATCCAAATATTCCTGCAAAGAGATGTTTGATGAGGGATATGGGATATGGAACTCATGTGGAGTAGATGCAACGATTGGAAGCCAACAGAACAGCAGGCCGAATATGGAATGATGCTCAAAGTAATCCTTGGGGATTCAAACGGCATCGCAGAGGGCACATATATGATAAGATAGGTTTGTGAAAGAATGCAGGTATTCCCGGCTATTCAACCGACTGTAGAACACGTTTTATAAGGTGGAAGCCCAGAAAGATAAAAGCAATTGTTGATCCCGTCCCAGGAGCAGAAGCTGTCGCTAAAGGTGAGCATCTTAGACCTTCTGATGGAATGCTTAACCACGATACCGGACGTAAAACTCGAAACATAGAAGCTTGTTAGTCATAAATTCATTTCACGTAGATCCCTACCATTATCTGTATAAATGCCTGGAAACAACTGGTTTTTTTTTCGAACAATCATTATCTTCCTGCTTATTTTTTCCTCTCTGTCCTCGGATGAGCAGCACGCGTCCAAGAATAATATCGACCATTTTTTTTTAGTCTGTAGCAACCGCCTTTGAAGTGTGTATGTTTATGCCTAAAGTTGAAACTACGTAGGCATAGAAATAAAATAAGGCGTAGAGGAGACGTGTCTACATTATTCGGAAACAGGTCGATGGTGCCAAATACGGCTATAGTAGGAATTGTCACAAGGGTCATGTGTACGTTTCTTCGCTGGTGTGTGTTTAAATAAGTGGTCGGTTTTTGGCTTTCGTACGGAATGAAAAAAAATGTTTATTAGATACAATGGGTTAGGGAGAAAGGATAAGAGAAAAAAGACACCATGAAAGAGAAATCGGGAGTAACTGCTTTGATCTTGGTTTACCATAGTTGATAACCTGAAACGCAAGTCGGCCGCTGTCAGCGCGGTACCTGCAAGTTCGTACCATCTTGACTATTCGGTTCGGACAACCGCTTGGCAATTTAGAAGAGCAGGATATACACGCGGCCTCTAACCATAAATCGGCAGTCTATACGGCACGTGTTTGACGTGGCGCATCTTCGGTAATGCTTTAGGCGGCCTAAAGTAGTGCAAGGTCGGTAAGGTTATTATCAATTAAATTCAATATATTATACATTTGTAGTATCGATTTTCTATATTTGGATTCGTATACCTTAGTGTGGTTTTGAAAAAGAAACGACGAAAGGTGATGAGAGGCCTCAAGGTAGCCGGACTGCTTGGTTGAAGCTAAGGAGCGATTAGTTGGAGCCGAGAATTAAAGGTATCTGGATATAGTAAGCATTAATGCATTTAATACATTCAGTCAATATATGTTGGGGTCTCTTATGCGCCTATTGTACAGGATGATCTAGACTCAAAGTTATATCTTAAGGTAAGTGCACGTATGAATAGAATAATACTAACGAATAAGGGCAACTTTTACCGCTCTCTTCATTGCTTTCGTATTCAGGAAGCGTCGGACGATGACTTTATCTGCTGATTTTCTGTCAAATGTAAACCTGTGCCCGTATGCCTGTGCGCCTGTACGTGATACGACGCACAAGTGGTATCATAAAAGTATTTACGCACCTAGCAGTGGCATATCTGAGGCAGTATGGCCACAGTGTCTATCGCCATAGCAAATAAGCGAACTATTCTGTCTTTGAAGTGCACATTGAATGGTGCGTGACAGAACGTTGGAACGTGAGAGGCTTGATGTTAGGTTGAAACCGGGGAGACTGTCGAAAGATTAAGGTCATTGAGAACGAGGCCAACAGCCTCTGAACGCGTTTGGCGACTGCCCACAAAAGTGGAAAGTATATAAAACTAGACAAAAAAAGAATAGGACCATTCTTCTTTTCCTGTTTCTTTTGCTGTTAGTCGTTGTGCAATTTATAAGGCTGATGTTGTATAACACTAGAAGAATCGGAAATCCCCTCAGTCTATCTTTGGAAACGCTGGTGTGGCGCCAACTCCGTGAGGGCATGTCTTTGTTACTTTTTTAAAAGTCCATTAACGGCATAAATGATGCCGTGCCTGATGGTCAGACGCTGCAGGCGTAGATGGCAAATACGAAACTACGACGATTACTATGCATATCGGACTGTCCTAATACGCGTGAGGTATAAGCATTTAATTTTACCTTTCAGATTCTTTCGTATTTTTGTCCCTGCGATTAATTATATAAGAACATTGATTCGTCTTACCTAGTTTTTAATTTTACTACATGTTTTCGATTATTCATCTATCGACTAACGTACGATACCCGCTGTCCACTTGGTCCGCATCACCTTGAACGTTTCCTTCTTATTGAGGACGGTCTTCAGAAATCGATCAAAGATGTCGCTACTGGTATCTGATAGTTGGTTGCTTTTTCCCTATCCCGTCTGCTGCCACGCCGGTGGCAAACTAGGACAGAAGAAGATGATTGGTCAGTTAATGAGTAAGATAGAGTTTTGATTAAGGGAATGGGAAGTTAACTCAATGAGGAAATTGTACCCTTTACCGATAAAAGGCAGCTCAATTAAATTGGGCAGATTGAAAGTATTCTCACTAACCTTTCCATCGCTCAAGCGTTCTTGCACGCACTTTACTCTAAGAGTAGGACCTCCGAACGAGTAGCCTTGTAAACCTTGTTGAGCTCGTGTTCCTGGTTCAAATGATTTCTGTAGCTTCTATCGCTCACTGAATATATCCTACCCTCGAGAAATTAGTGATTTGAAGAAAGGCAATATTGTTGCGATGATATACTCTTGAGGCTAACGAAGCAGACTGAAAGTGACCGTCTATTCCCATTTAATGTTTGGCTCCTTTAGAGGTAAAGCCGTACTTAGAAAGCTCAGAAAGAAAACTAGACCCAAGTACCCATCCACGTATACAGTGCCTTTCTAAGTGGTGTTGTAGTTATAGAGATTAAAACTAGCAATGGTAGACGAATAACCTTCACGGCGGTGTCATGGAAAATCATGAACTTTATATTGAATGAATAATATCGCCTGAAGGTCTTCTACTCGATTCGTTCAGTGGCAAAAAAGATTTTTGATTTTCGCGTGCTTTCCCTCGTTGTGTTTCGTGTCGGCACTGTGAACAAGAACTAAATTGCTCTCACTTTCAGGGAACACATTATTGAGCTCATACGATGGCCTGAGACAGGGTACCGCCTGATATAGTGTGAAAAAATGTTGCGATCAGAATATACGTCTAGTCATACGTACATTTGTCTATTTGTTCCCAAGCACGCAACATGAGATTCTAGTAGCAGCAGTGTAATGCTTAAGAAGCAGGTTGTACGCTAAATCGTTGACAATGAAGCTCAAACGCGCAGGAATTAAATTTAGGTAACTTAGTATATTAATGAACTTTGCTGTCTCCAGGTGCCAGAATGGAGCGATATTTGGTTACTTGCTAGTAGTAGTCTTGAGAAGAGCAAAGGCGAGCACTTGTTATGTATGTATGCGCTAAATAATGTGTGTGTTTTTTGTTGATACCGTATAAACGTACACAGGTGCTTCTCGCTTCCGCGCTTTGACAAGTTGCCCATTCCGGAGCCCGCGCCACTGAGCTCGCTATCAGCACATGATCTTATGGGGCTCGTCGGCAGCGCATCCAGCGAGCATCTCCGACAGAGAGAGGAGGAGCTCACGGAGCAGCATCGGAAGGTATTTATAGATCCACATATATATGATGCTAACTGATGCCCATCACTCATTGTATCCAACAGAATACGTATGTTAATGTATTTTTCAACGAAAAAACGCACGAACGAACGGAGACCACAATTCTCTAATAGCATGCAAACAGTCATACTCGTATAATATCGTATATCGTATACCGAGACAAAATTGCGGCCGTGAGCGTTTTAGTCTAGATCTTGATTTAGCTAAACAGCACAGTACATAATAAATAATGTACAAATACATATGAACTTTGCTAATTTTTGTTAAGCAGTCCTCTACAACGCACAAATACACGTAGAACAACTACGAGTATATTATATGCATACTTGTAGATTATGTAATCTGTAAGTGTAGAGTACATAGAGTTCGTAAAACTGTGTTGATTTTTTGCAAACGATCTCACAACGAATCTCCGTCGCCCTATAGGGCATTGTGGCGTATGATATCTATCACAGACATATTTTTGAACAGACGCAGTCCCAAATACGTTCAAACCGTGATTCCACCGTGTATCACATGATGATTTGAATGCTCTAGTTCCTTCCACGCGTTATAGCTACTCTAGTTCGTTATACATGCTCATATCTATGTGATAAGCTGACAGGTAGATACTTTGCGAGTTATACCGTGCGCCGGCCGCTCGCCAACTCTTTTTCCCTGCTGCAATAGTTTCGGCGGTAGCAGCGAGCGTTCTCGGTGGAAGAAGTGGACACGCCAGCACTGGTTATTTACCGCTCGCAACTCAAGATAAAAAGGCTCAGTTAAAAATGCCAGGTTGAATTCTCTCTCTGCTTCTGAGCCTTTATAGTTTCCTTAGTGCCACTACTATTATCATCACTATAAGCCTTTTGTTCGCCCGTTCGCGCACCCGCACCCCCCACCCTGTCACAGACACTCGACCCAGCGATAGATTGTCGAATAGACCAGTATCAGCACGAATGGTGACATGCTGACATCCGCGATGGCGGCGCCTCTTTGCCTAACTGGCTTCCTTGTTTGAACGACTATCTGCTCTCTGGCTGGGTAGTTGATGTACGACCTCGCTGTAACAAGCGAGCACGTGAGTGCTGCTTGCATACCTGACGCCCTCGTCTTGGAAGCAAACGCTCCTAGCAAGCCATTGGCCAATTTCAACAAGATCCTTCTTGTCGCCATTGGTCCCAAGCAGGCCGATCGGCAAGGGGCCCTACTAATGCTACTGGGCAAAGGAGCTGTAAGGCACGCTTGCTCGTTCGTTCGATGACGGCGACGGCTGTGTCTACTCCCACACCTTCTCCCTTACTGTGGCACCAGCAGTCTCGAACAGCCTCTCTATGCTAGCAAGCGATTCAGCCACAATCCTCGAACAAACACAGCGAGCTTGCTACCACTGCCGCTACTATAATAATATTGTGCGGCAATAACGTAATTGCTGTTCTCATGTTGGTTGTTATTTAAGTAACAGTGTGATACGATTAATCGTCTTATTCCTATTCTGCCGCAGGCCTTATATATTGTAGCTCGTGGATGAACAGTTCTTCTCTGGATACGTGATGTCCCTGAACGACGGAAAGCAAACGGATACTCTAGATCCTATAATAGTTCTAGTTGAACTGAAAAGGTGGAAATGACGAGAAAGACATTATGACGCGGGTCACTACATCTCGCCATGATTAAGCGCCTGTGTGTTTGTGTGCGATCGGGGTTGCTGTGAAGGGAGCCGTTGTCGCCGGCCAACGTCACTGCGCACAAAATACTGTTGCGGTATCACCTACGGCGTCGTGCATTGGCCGTTTGTGGATTCGGTCCGTGGTTGTAAACGAGAAACAACCAGTTTCTGCTGGTCAAAAATCGCGTACGAGAGTAAGCAGCATACCATTGCAATGGAGCAGCGTACCATCATGAAATCGCCGTGTCTGACGTATTTCGAACGAAGACAGGAAATGTATGAAGTATTAGCTGATAGCAGCAAACGTGGTTAGCGAATGGACGAGGCCGACGACTCACGGATGTTCGTCGTTTGTCTTCAGAGAATTGAGGAAACACAGAAATATTTAGTTTCTGTTGTTTGTTTCCGAAATCGAATATGAAGAGGATTAAATAATAATACCACTGGATAGGTTCCCAGCGGGATTTCAGTTGTTGCCTATAAAAATCGACGAGTCCATACCAGACTCGCATGATATCATCAACAACTATCTTCTGGAAAATAATCCGAACTATCCATGGCTGGTCTTAGGCGATGTTTTGTTGCCCTAGCCTACCGGCAGGCTAGTGGAACTGTTGTCTGATGTTCTGTGGTCTTCCTAGAATAGATGGGGTTTGTTATTTAGTTAATATAAATACCTCGGCTAGCATGGAATAACTGATGCCATCGTTATCGGTACTAGTGTTTCAAATTGCCTTAAACTGATCTTACATTTGAAGATATCTTCAAATGTGAAGATATAAACGGCGACCACGCAACGCACTGAGATGATACGAGGCACCTATTGATGCCCTTTATCGTTATTTAGGGTTGCAAAAGTTTTCCTATATAGATTATAAATATACATAATATATGTAAAAAGCTTAAAATCTGAGTAATGTTCACTATACGGCAATATTTCGTTCAGAAACTTTTAATTAGGAGTGGTTAAATTCTTTTATCTGTTAGTATATACCGCATAGTCAGTAATCGAGGTTCAAGCTTAACTGAAAATGTCTTTCTGTTTTGTTTTTAAATCAGCACCAAGTTAAAACTCTCCGATTCTTTAAGCTGGTAAGCTACTGGCTAGCTCGACGGGTTCCGTCTAGCCGCCTCCATTGCAACTCTGTCCGAACACAGATTCGTTCTAATTGCTCAGTGTAACTTATACTGCCATTCTACAGTTTTATGTAGTTCATTGAAACGCCAGCTATTTAGAAATTTGTGACGCATCTCTGAAACATGCACAATGGAACGAACCTATTCACATCTGATGAATTTTGACAGATGAATGTCGCTCGTACGGCTGTTCACTGTTCTGCCAGCTGACGTCAAGGGTTGCCTCTGGCTTCGATCGAAAGGCCGTTTCGAGGGTCTATTACATAACTGTGAAATCAGCTGGGGTTTGTGAAGTATGTGGCTAGGCTTACGCTCGAATGTGCTTGATGGATCGGTCATGACGATAAGTCGCAGGTGTACTCGTACACGCTATTGCGGCCTCTATTTTCAAATATTTTGTGGAAACCGAAGGAACAGGACAGAGAGAATTGTTGGGTGGAACATAAATTTCACCCTCGCCTTCTAAACAGGTCGACTTCGAGTGTCGCATGCGATCAAAAGCGAACTACTCTAATTTTCCGTTTCTGCTTGGTGAAATTCGGGTTGTGCTGCAAGTATTCCTATGATTCGAGCTTGATGTTTGTTTTCGGCAATGGCGCAGCAGGAACGTGGCCTCTTATGGTTTTGGTTGACTAATTGCTATAGCACGTATTGCCAACAGTTAAAAAACATGGACGGTGAACAGATCATACCTAGGTCATCACAACACTTACAGCAAACAGCTTAGCAAATGTCGACAAGTTAGTTCTTTGTGTAGCTCATGTTAAGCAAGTTAAAATGAAGTTGGAAAAACTAGGATCTGTGTAATTGCTGATAATGTGTGATTACGCAGTTTGCGTGTGAATATCAAATACTAATTCGGTTTGGAGGCTTTTTGAAGCTTCCGTCATCGCCGGTAGTGAACCATTGAGCCAGCGTCAGAAGTGCGCGGACAAAACATTATTCTAGCTGAACATTTAAGTTCATCCGTAAATATGCACAATATACGTTTATGCATTAGAAGTCATGTTCCACCGTGTTACCAGTAATGCTATCCACTGTTGCGGAGCATTGACGCAGTTAGGCTGCATAGAACTAAGTATATGATGCCGTTTCATTTACTCTGCAGGTGGTTCAAGAGCGACTGGCGGAACAAGAAGAAGAGCGCGATGCTCGACAGCGACTCGAAGACATTATAAATATGTGCGCCAATTTTGTCTCTGGCTCCGTGGCGACACCTGCAACGACCAACGGTCACTCCCCATCTAATCGATCGTCCCAGCTAAAATCGCCACCTGGTAGTCGAAAGTCGCCTCCGTCAACAATTGGCATTAAAACCAACGGATCACTAAAGGCGACAACGCCCTCGTCCGAAGATGAGCTTGCGGCAATCAATAACGTTGCTGACTCAGCTGCGCGAACCCCAGCTTCGCCGACCAGTCCCCCGCAGAGTCCACGCAATCGCATCAAAACAGTTCCGGGAATACCTTCACCCAAGGTCTGTGAGAATCTTGATGAATCATTCGAATGAAATGTGTTGGACCGAACATATCTGTAAACTGCAGCCGATTCTTCCATACAGCGGGAGGGAACAATAGGGACGGACACTGCTTTCAAGGCTAGTTCTATTTTAGGGCAAGAATTGGTTTCTGCGATGGCCGATTAAAATTTGCGCCCCACGTATCGCAAGTCGTTTCACGCCAAAGCCTTGTCCTGCCGTAAGCTAGTTGCAATCATAATTTGCCAATATTGGTTGCCTGTCGTTCCCTTGTCATTTTAATAGAGTGAGCAGCTCTGTGCCGTTATCAGGTATGAGTCAGACGTCTGTAATGTGACTGCCGTCGCGTAATTATCGTTCTGCGACTAGTACTATTAGGGCAGCTACACTATTTATTATAGTGCGGAGATTTTAACGAGACATATTATACTGTTGTTCTAACAGATCTGATCACAACAGACCGACACCGCAATTCATTCTATCTGAGCTTCTATTACTTAGTGAAGTACAATTCGTTGTCAGGCATCGCTCGAGCTCTCCCTTCTTTACCATTATATATAAAGAACAGAGTACTGAACTACTTCAAGCAATGGGGTTTGCGTAAACGATACTTTTCTATAGAATCGCTTTCCTTTCGTTCTCTCAAATGTATTCCCTGAGGTAGAGTTTGCAGACGAACCTTGCAGTATTCCTACCCGCCACAACTCTGTGTAACATAACGACGACTCGTTAACCATAAAAAGAGTTGTTCACGATTTGATTCAATATACGTGTAGAATTGTTTCACCTGCAAAAAGCTTAAGTTGACTACGTCCTCGATAGCGACGAACGAGTATAGGAATAAACTAGCGGACATTGAAATAAGAATCTTCCTATGACCTTGGTGGCCGCCAAAAAATAAATACAATACTCAATCCCTGCTATAGTAACATTATTAAATTGGCCCTTTGAACTTCTTATAATGGAAACAGCCAAAAATATCATTGATTTGCAACATTTAGTCTGATACTTACTACACAGGAATCGTAGGCTCCGAGCCGTGATGCAGTGTTGTTTTGATCGACCAACTCCGTTTAGCGTTATAATACTTCAGTCGATACGTCTTGGTCCAAACTTCCAGCCATATCGGACCAAGCAATAATTAATCAAAAACTAAAAAAAGTGACCAAACCAATTGCATTGCTACTCCTGTTAACATACGATGAGTTCTACTTTGATAGGATACATTGGGAGCACCGTCGCCTAACTATCGACCGCTGACGAATGGCATCTCGACGTCATCGGGCGCTACCACATCGATAACAACGGTTGTTACATGCGGCGGAGGGAAAGGCAAGGATAAATTGACCACTACTGTCGCCGGAGTTACTACTGCTGCTGCCGGCGCCGCCGCAAGCATTAGTGATAAAGTGCCGGCGCGATCTTCGTCATTACAGAAAATGGCCGCTCATATTCATGCCGCACAGGCGTCGCTTCTGCGATCACAGTTTGTGCAGCTGGAGGCCGCATTCAAGGAGCAGTTGGACGAGCTGCAAATGGAGTTGGCACTTGTCACAGGCGAGCTGTGCGATGAGCAGTTCTCACTCAAAGAAGACCTCATCCAATACGGTAAGATCGAGGCCGAACAGGAAATTCTCGTAGGAGAAACCCTGCGCGAGAAAGAGGATGAGGAACGAAGACTTCACCTCGCTGGCGAACGAATACTCAAGTGGCAGGTTAGTCAGAGTATATTGGAGTTGGTACTATCACGGCGTTCGCAGCCAGTATTGAAAAATACGTTACCGAACAAGGACATACGCTTGTGTAGATCGAGAGCGAACTGTCAAAAACAGACAAATAGCTCTGTCGTTGTTTAAAGGACGAGAATTTTCCCGAACTGCTGCCGACAATAAGCGAGCCCGTTCTATAAGTAATTCATTAATTTGAACCTGTAAAATGTATGTCGATCAATATCCGGTACATATCAGTAGTCATAAACAGAGGACAGCAGACCATAAATGCAGGCTGCTCAGAGTAAAACACGAATTTCAACAAAAAATGTCGTATTTTTTGCGAACATTTAGTCTAAATGTGTCCACTGTGTATGTGGTTTTTGCTAGAATCATTTGCTGACACTGCTCCATGCGGCTAATTCTTGCATACCTTTTACATTTATAATAAAGATAAGTAGATGATGATTTTACGTTGTTGAGTCAAACAAGCAAGACCATCGATAATTAGGGAACAGGTGCTGGGGGTGTGGCAATCGCCACAAAAGGAAGCGTACTGTCGGTCAGCCCTCGCTTAGTTGCCTCGTTCTGATAAAAGTCTCACCTTAAACAGGAGTTTCTCACTAGCGTAACCATGAGGATATGTGAAAAGACGACCGCTGGTGCCGGTCACAATTATAGCCGTACGTATCTGAGCGTTGTACGCTCTCGCTGCATGTTCTTACAAAAGAAAAGGGAATAGGTGGCATGAGGGAGAACGAAGTAAAAGGGAACGAAATAAATATAGAGAGAGATAAACGAAGGCAAGCTAAAAACGGCACTTCGCGTTTTGCTGACTGCTATGTGATGCAGAGAAATCGTGTGAATAAGTTACGGTAGCGATGCTGGCAATTGGATATGTACTGGTCAAAGATACTGGCCTAATGTGGGCTGTATACAGATATATGCGTGCATTAAGAGCTTTTTATTGACGCCTATAATCAATAGGAAAGACTATTATCAAATCAATCCTTGACGGCCTCCTGTATTTAGTAACAATGTGTACAGTGATGCAAATAATTTGGAATATTAAGCCACTGGGGTTTTCGCTTTGCTAAGACCGACCTATTTCGCATTCTCCACAATTGTCGTCAGGAATTAACAGTAAAAATGGCCGAAACACTCGATGACCCAGTGTCACCCGCACTTGAACGGGAGATCTCGGAGAGACTAGAGAACGAGGTCGAGTGCCTAGAAGCTGAGAAGCGTGCCTACGAAGATCTCGAGTTCCAGATTATGGAAAGTACGGCCCGTAGAGATGAACGCATTGAAGAGGTACGTAGCGCGCTTTGCAGCCACGAGTCCGTGCTCGATGGAAGCTGGTATATCGTCTCAGAAGTACCTTAGAAGGCCTGTTGATTCGTAACCTTCGTTATTGCCCATAACGTGTAGGAGCGTGTCAATCTGTGAAATATCATTATGTATGAAGTTATTGTTTTAGCTGAAAATTAAGCAATTTTAGGTAAACGTATTCCCTCCTCGATCGGTAAAACTTTTATTAGCGGATCGTCTTTGCGGCGCAAATGCTTGAACCGTCACTATAATGATGTTTAGGTAAATCAACGCATCTTAATGATGAGCCGTTTGATCGAGCAAAAAGAAGCTCGTATCCAGGAGCTACAAATGCAGCAGCGAACGATTGCAGACGAACTCGAAGCTAAGAAGCGTGAGTGGGCCGAACAGCAGCGTAGCCATCAAAATAGTCTGCGTATAGTTCAACAGGCACAGCAACAGTCCAGTCTTGACTCCGAGAGCCTTTCAGGCAGCGAATCCGACACTGAATCCGAGTACCAGCATGTGAGTGCCAGAAACACGACCCATATCAGATACAAGAACCAAACTCCACGAGTAAGGCGTCACATAGTGAACAGACTAACCCTTGACAAGGACAACCGTAGTAGTAATATAATGCTAGTATTCCTCAAGGAGTTTAGGCGTCGAGAAGACCAAATAAAGATAGAGTAGAAAATATCGTTCTGCTTGCCATCAATGATCAGATGAGGGATGAACAAATTCAATTCTATGAAGGCTGAATGTGGCTACTGTAGGTCATCATGTGTGATATAAATTACCAACAAAAGTGAATCCTTCGGATGTATCAGCTAATAGTCACAAGTAAGCCGTTGGTAGTAGAAGCAGGTTACCTATCAGTAGTAAGTGCCAATTAAACTTCATAGTAAAAACACTGTTAAAAAGATCAAGACAATAGAAACGCCTGCTGGATCCTAACGTGTGCGTCCACATCGGTGTCTGCTGTTCCACTGGGCATATTGCAGTCTAACTGCGGGTCAGAGATGGTGTCCTCATCAACGGAATCCGAGGAGCTTTTCTCACCCAAAACCACCGCCGCGCTCGGTCAGATGGGCACCGTTTCTGTCTCGCTACGGAATAACAACCGCCGGTTAAGTCAAAGGCCGCTAACATGTTACCTACCCGTGTTTCCCGATCAGGGACACTTTGATCTGCGTGCCCATATCATCAGCTGCGGACATCAGCTAGAGATTTGCGCGCAAGACGTAACCGTCGACAGTAACAGCTGCCGTGGATACCTCTACAAATTAGGCAGCGCCAGTAGATGGTGGAAAAAAAGATGGTTCGTCTTTGACCGAGCAAGCCGTGCGCTAATGTATTTTATGGATAAGAGCGAGAGAAAGTTGAAAGGTACGTGTTATGCATCAGTAGAAGAATATAGGTTTGGATCGATTTCTTATTGTTTTTTTTTTGACCATCAATAGCGTTAGGGGTCCCGGGGAGGCAACAGATGAGTTTCGTTGATATGTCGTAACTGTCATTTTGTCTAGTTTAGCTATCAAAACGTGCATCACATGTTATCTAAGATACTACTTGTTTTCTGTTTGAAGAGTAGTATTCATTAGAATGCTAAAAGCATGTAACAAAAACGTTTTTGGTATAATTTTGTGCTTTCATTACACAGGAGTGATCCATTTCGAGTCCATCGACGATGTCTATGTTGATCATGGAAATAAGAAGATGGCCGCTTTCTGTGTCAAGACTCTCGATCGAATCTATCACTTATCGTCAACCTCTCCGGAAGCCATGCGCGTATGGGTCGACGTGATTTTCTCAGGAGCGCATGGTTACAATCGCTTTCTCGGCCAGGACTGACGTCTGTGTATCTCTGTAGATGAGCAGCAACGACAACGACAGCTCTTAGAACCGAATTGGCAAGCTGCATCGCTCCTATTCGATCTCGAACATCCAATCATGTCCCTTGTGCCCTCGCGAAGCGCGCAGATCTTCAACAATAACAACTATCTCTAGTTTGATCAACTCGTCATTATTATGAAACTTTCCGCGGAAATTCATTGCGAGTGAAGGCTAACTGTTAAGGAGAAGCCTGCAGCGAGAAAAGGAACACGCCAACGGACACAACGATGCATCAATAAGTATGTAATTGATACGAAGACCACGGGCCGTCCCTGTTCAATCATTCTAATGTCTGTAGAAATCAATGCTTTTAAATGCAAAATGGGAAGCGGTGTGGCGTTCTCTACCACTTTTTGGAAACCAGCACCTCTGGAGACCCTCTACTCTGCTTCAGAACTAACGAGTCCTTCAAGAGCTACAAACGAGCCTATACTAACTAGTTAGTTGCTTTCTAACTTTGTAAATTCGATGGCGCGGATCTGAGTAACGGCGCCCATCTGCTAACGACGACGATGGTGACTAAAACATAACAATACAATTGATCATGACAACAGCAGAATTGATAAAGAGATATCAATGCAGCAGCGTTGTGAACAATAAAATGCTAGTAATACCAATATTAAGTAACAATGTTTAGCTATAGTTTATCGCGCAAAGACAGACAATAACAAAGGTATGTTGTAACAATGAGGCTTAGGGTAAAAAAAAGTTTCGCACGGATTATAGTCATGATAAGTCTCTACGTTACTAACTATGGACAACACGAGATAAAGTGGTCGTTACATTAATGATATTACAGAATAATTGTTCTATTATCTCTTTAGGTGCCGGCCTAGGTTTATATATATATATATATATAGATTAAAAAAAGGTGAACCAAGCACTTGTGGCAGGCTCGTGCATGCATATAGACGTGACAGGCACAGTATACACTGAGAAAGCCGTACAGAAGAATAACGAAGACTGAAAATGATGGTAACACGAAGCGCTCTATTTATCTTACACTAGGCACGATGGAGGACCATATAATAAATGAACATTTGATCAGACTGAAGGCGACGCAGCAATTATACGCATCACAGAAGGATGCGAAGGTTTTAAGTGATGAATCAGTCACCACAGAAGCTGTCTGCTGTGGGCAGCGGAGGTCCAGCGGATTTTTACAAAGCGAAGTATCGAGTGTCGACAGCGGTAGAGAAAAAAGAATGGTAAAATAGGGACAAACAGCATTTTTTTTCCGGATTCGAATAGTGTGTAAATGGTTAACGAGATTGGAACGTCACTATTAATATTACCAATATGTCTACGAGCTAGACAAGCTGACCGTAATGATATGAACAATAGAATGATTGTTCCTGTCATATAATGGATGATACAATTAGGATGACGCAATAATGATGACTGCAGTGCCGACAATGATGCTGATGAAAATATATCATTACTACACGCAGATTAATCTACACATACCGTATTATATATATACATATGAGGACTATTCATTCATCAGGTGCAACGGCCTAGTTAGTTGCCTGTTTCAAATATGGCTCGCAAACAACACCATCAGCTACTGTTACACGAAAAGTACGAAAACAGAAAAACTTTCCTCATTTTTCTGCTAATTGTATCACGATACCGCTGACTGTATATGGTACATCTGACTGATCTAGTTCATGTGCCTAATGCAGAATTCATACTAAAAACTTCGTGGATTGTACAATGACGGTCAAAATGGTAGCTGGGACGAGTGACCCACTCGCCTCCGTCTGCTCCAATGCAAACGACTATGATGATAATGTTATGACTTCAATAGATTATCCACCTATTGTTGAATGCTTCAGCTACTGCTTTCCAATGAGGATTAAAAGGCTTATGAATGGCGTGGAACACGCTTTGTTTAAACCTCAATCTAGCCAAGTCTATTTCTCGCCGAAACATTTTTCCGGCGGGATTCTTACAACCCAAAATCATATGAAAGTTGAAAAAGAGACAGTCGTGTATGTGTATTTAACAGTTCTTTCGGTAGATTGTATACTTATTCAATAATAATGATAAATGGACGAGAATGCGGCTACTGCGACTAAGCGAAACTACAGGATATATACAAGGAAAGACAGAGAACCACAATACAATACGACCAGAATTATCAAGAGAAGCACGGCTGATAAAATAGTGTCCTTTAAAAGCAAAGCCCACTATGGTCTCCTGTCATCAGCTATTCCTTTGGAACGTATACCCAAAGACAGATACTTTATTACCAACTTGCTTCTAGGATCTTGTTTGTTGTTTAGAATGAAACAGGACAATATAGCGCCGCTCTGTCCCCTAGTAGCCATCTCATTTCAGTTACGGTTCGATGAGGATTTTCAAACGTATAACTTATCATATAGACACACAGAAGCCTTTGTATAGAAAACAAGGCAGCATGGGAGTTCTTAGACATACGAGTAAAGGAACCTAATAGACTCACAATGAAACGTAACTAACACAGAAATACATCGGTAAGCAGAGCCGCTGATGATTAGATGAAAATACGTAGACGGAAAGTTCAGCTTTGCCAGAGAAAATAACAGCGAATCCACGAATCTTCATAATTTCAATGCTGTTAGCAGTCACTAACTTCTACCACTTAATGCGGCCAGGAAAATGTGCTTCATGGGTCGAAGTTGCTCTCGCCTGCCGAAACAATGACGAACCTGACGATGCTAATCATGAACTATCATTGTTGCGTTATCGATTTTTTATTGACTGGACATGAAAATATGACCGATTGATTATTTAATCGATACAATCGGGTCATTTGAGGATCGATGGCTGCTTTGATTATTTCCGCTAGGACATTGGGTAGTGATTACATGTAAAGGCTGACAGCGAAATGACAGTAAATCTATGATACTTGTGACTGGCTGCCTGAACTATTCGGTGAGCCAGCCATAGAATGGGAGACAGAAGGAAATAATAAATAACCAACGATTAAAAGAAGATGACGATAGTGAGCATAATAGCAACGATGACTAAAAGTAAGATTATATATGCTGTGAGAAGAACATGCCTTTCTTCGGTAACGGCTTCGCGAAGGCATGATAGAGCTATATAACTAGGTCGAAAGGAAGAAAGGATATGGTTCGAAGAATGAATGACAAGAGTCCTGTGTACCATTAGGTATTTGGCAAGCTGCTGACGATAGAAACAGTTTCCGTATTGGGTTTCGTATTCTGTATATACTATGTGCTATGTATAGGTTATTCTGCGTGCTTTCCGTTGATGTTACGCGCCCCTGCTTGTTTGCTTCGTCCGGTGATAACACAGCGCATCCATAAAATACACAGCGAGCTACAAGGTATAATGGCCAGAGCAAGCTCTGTATGTGTTCACAGCAAACAAAATGGAAACGGAATCTATCCGATTTGTTGCGTATAGTTAATTTTGTATTCCAACTAGAAGCATCGCGTAGTCATGCAACATAAAAACACTGGCGTTTGTTAGCCACATTGGCAGCGTAGCTCTTTTTGTACACTTACCAATTTATGAAATGTTGCCGAAGCTATCGTCCCTGACATTAGCAAAAAAAAAAAAAAAACTATTCCAAAATGTATGCCTTCACCAATTCTAGACACGCGTGCTAAAACAGACCTCAATGGTGGCACGGGAGACACAGGAACCAGTAAGGGAGAACGACTATCATAGCAATAGCTATGAAGGCTTATTATAAAAGAAAAAATGTCCAACCACACGTAATTAGCATTACCACTCTATGCTTTATTTTATTAGTGATGATTCCATCATAGTCGTACTCATAATGGTGAAAACAAATAATAGTAGTATTGTTAACCGTGAATATTGTTAGATTGGCGATAACCAAGTAGTAACGCTAACCTTATTGAAAAAAGCGGTGGATATCGAAAAATGAGATCACAAAAACTAACAAACATAGGCCAGTCATAAACAGGACAGCGACGCATATTGATTGACGAGGAGGAAGACAGGAAAGCGATAAGAACTACTAATTATTGTACCTATGACCTCGAATAAAAGCGGCGAAACAAAGGGAATCTTCAAACGAGAGCGATTCTCGTTATTATATTATTATTTCTTATTCTCTCCATTATCAGCTTAAAGATACTCCAGTTGCTCGTAGCATTATAATTTCCTTTTCTTCGGCAGGTTCGACACAGAGAGTAAAGAAACATCCGGGCCACACCATATCCCAATGTCGCAAAGGAAAAAGCCCCCAACAAAGGAAGATTAGCGAAACGAAAAGAGGGACGTTCGTACAACCTCATTACCCGATGGCATTGCATACACATAATACATTAATATCATTCCGGATGAAATAAAAATGATAAGAGCTATTAGAATACCGCAAGCTGACAAACGTGGCATTACATATGTGGCTACCGAATGGCATGAAGTATACAATGCAGGTGAGTCATAATGATAACCGTAACGATAATGATAAAAAAAACAACGTAATAATAAAAATAATGCTATTAATAAAGCGTTGCACATGCCCTTATGTCTAATAAAGTCTTTATTGGTTGATCCAGGCAGATGTTCATACTACCAATCTTTCGAGAAAAGTTTCTATATTGATGTTCAGCGTCGCTTATCAGATTTGCTAAACCCAACTAATACCTAACATTGTCCTGTTTGATTGTACTATTTTTAGGCAGAAGTCTATGTTTTTACCTCTACCCAAATAGAGATGACGACTATATACTGTATCTCTATAGGCGTGCCTGCTTAGTCGCCAGCAAACAAGGACGTTCATATTGGGTAGCGGCTCCACTACTTGTTTATGCGCGTATACCCATTTATACCGAATACACATGTTAGAACATCAGGCGATGTAGAACTTCTATTTTACGTATAGTACTCGATTTTTAGCGCTGTATTTACGTTTTCAGATGGAGAAAGCACGAATGCTACAAATTAAGCATGATTGCATGTCCAGTAATGCACAGTTCAGCTATCCACTTATTGCGGTCCGCACGCTCCTGCACTCTCCTACATGTTTCCTAAAAATGATGCCGGAAACTAGTTCGGTTCGGTCATGTGTATTTACCTGCCTAATTGTTGTTATTGATTTGGTGACCATGAATCGTTTGACCATTTTTCAATTTCGCTAAATCCTTGTCATTAGGGTGAAGGACGTTTTTGCACAAAACGTTTCTTTTGTACGGCGATTTTCATAAAGGACAAATATCTTAAGTAGGCACGTTTGATTGACCCAGATGATAAGCGCGTTCCTCACGACTGATCTCGAAACGTCTCAGCACCTACTGCAAAACGATCCAGCCATGGGGTCTGCCAGTAGCGCGAATCGTGATGTGCGAGATAGATAGATAGAAGAGTAGTTCCTTTTGAAGCTTCGGTTTTTTGGAATGTTTAGTATGTGGATAGAAATTAAAAAGAAAGCTATTAGAAAACCAAAAACAGGTGCACCTTTAAACATGCACTACCACTGATTTTTGCAAAAGGTATCGAATGCGAGTAAAAGCTTTACGCTAAATTCAGTTCTACATAATTGTAACTCAACATCATAAAAAATCAATATGCAAAAACTGACCAGCTTGTACGATAATTGGTTAATTTGTAGGTTAGAAATATAAGGCTAGGGAAGCTACATCCGGCTCAGGAGGACTCCAAACCTCAAGCGCTATTATTCTACAGAGAACAACGTATCTTAAGCAACGTATATTATTATTATAGCTATCACGAATATACACAAGAAGTATCATAAACCTGTCTTTTAAATTATTTATTGAACACTGGATTAGTTTCTGAGAACTAGGTCTGCCAAATACTAAACTGGTATGATACTAAGGTAACATTAGTATTCCCGTTAGCAAACAGCTTATGACTATCGAAGACTTTCAACAGAGAGACCGACGATTCGAGTTGAAGGCTTACATTGTCATTGGCGAGAACAGTCAGCTGGAAAGCTCTGTGAGCGTGTTGATCAATATAGCCAATATTCTCCGTAGAGAGCTAATCTCTATTATGCATCGTAGCGCTTCTATAATGGATAACTCCAGCAATCTTTGTTCTTATTCCGCACTTTCGCATCCGAGCCTTGGAAGTTGCGAATTGTTCGTGCTGGTTTTCTAACGTCGAACAGCAAATATTTTCACGAGCTTTTCTACGATTCTTCTAAGAGAACCATTCAACAAATTCCAGTTACTAGATACAAGACCATAAGTTTCATAGATTTCATTTGCAATCAAAAAAGGAAGGCAGTACGATTGTCGCTTTCAGGCATACATTTTTTATGGAGTACTATACGCTCCAGCACGAATAAAAAGACTTGACTAAACAGTTCGAAAACTTTATTTTATTATTTAGCTATCGCTGGAGGTCGATACTTGGTGAAACCAGTGTGCATTTATATCCAGGTGCGTTCATATAATTTCGCCTATTGCCTAAAAATTGTAATAGACGAGTGATTGATGACGACGGACTTGTAGATGCGAAGGCGCGACATATGCCCAAATGGCTTATAGTGTCATTTCAGCTTCAGCAATCGCTAAACACACATGTAATAGTTGTCCCTGTACTTGTTTACGTTTTCAATTACTGTAACGTAAATGCTCTCTCTACTTGCTCAGCGCTTTCTAATAATGCGGCTGAATCCAAATAAACATACTTGTCTCACGTAGACAGCAAACGCACCATGTATTTAATTAGATATCTTTCAATATTTAAATTGTTTACCTTATGCACGTAGAAAATCAATAAAATCGTATACGCTGGGGCAACTATTGACTCGAATGAATCGGGCTCTATAAATATCTAAAGATAAAATATTTTTTACCATTTATGGTAGATGATGGGAGCCGTGAAAACAAAAACACAATTTTACGAAATAGCTGTTCTCGGCTTTGATGCTATTAAAAATACAGGACGTGATAATATTGAGATTCAACGATAATTCTTATATAAATATCGTTAATAATGCAAATTACCAGGTTACTAAAAAGTGAAGTAGCTGTTCAAATTAAACGAGAGAAATTCTGAAAGAAAAAATCTTGCAACATGCATTTATACAACATGAATGAGTTATTTGCTTCAGTTGAAGAGACTAGGTCTTGTAAATACAGGTGTTGGGGGGACGCAGGCATCAATTTTTTTTGAAAAAGGTGTTGTATGAATAGTGAAATGTGGGTCGACATACTGTCATGATGGAAGATGCAGGACTTGTTGTGCCAGGGTTTTAATCTCTTGTGTCGAACGAACCCCCTATTGAACGATTCTCGGACGATTGAAGAAAACCGTGAGGAGCGTCTTGACATTGGACTTGAGCCATCCGGCTTTTTGGATGGATTTCGAGGTTCGTTTTTAAACCGAACGTTGCGCATTGTTACTCCTGTCCACATTCACCTAATGACGTTTTCAAGCAGGTTTAGCACTTCTAGAGGTGCCAAAAGCCTTCCCTAAGGTAGTCTTTGCGGGTGTTTATCTGCTAGACAGTCAGCTGCTTGAGCACAAACTTTATTGTAAACCTAACGCCATCGGTTGAGATCGCTTAACACGAACCATATATATATATATATATATATATATATATATATATAGAGAGAGAGAGAGAGAGAGAGAGAGAGAAGTTATTACAATTAATGATACTTAAATCTAGACAAAAGGTAGAGGATAAGAGTGAGCGTTGTTGTTAATTAATATTAGACTGCGTACTAGACTCACTAAGCTACATAAAATAATATCTTCTTGATACGATTTATAATAATACAGGATTTTTTCTGACAAAAAACCGTTTTGTTTCGAGAATCGGGTCCAATGAGGAAAACTGAGAATTTTTATTCAAAACGCAATTGTGATATCGATTCGAGCAGTTGATGTTTCATGAACAACTCTTGCTGACAGTAGTATCAGAACTCCTGCCTCATGCCTTGTGTCCTATATTTATTAACATAGTTTACCTCAGCGTTGTGACGTTCATAAACGCCATGTTTACCCTAATTTTGTTTTGCAAAATTTTGTCTTGGAGTATATGCAGGAAAAGATAAGACCAGGAGAAAAAAACAAGTAATTACTTCCCTTCCTGTTCTTCTAATATCGTTCAAGCAAGTATAACATACTTCCTAGTCTCATGATTCTTCGTATATTAAAAGATTATAGACAAACTTCTTGGCACAATGTTTCAGACAAACATCTGCCTCGATAACGCTTTCGCCTCAATAAGATCGATTTCTAAAAAAAAACAGTCCTCTGTAAACAATAAGCGTTTCTCTACGAAGCTCCTATTCCATTTGACCCTACTTTCTTTCTACAGTAGAATTTCGTGATATGCTACCGTCCGACTTTAACTTAATCCATTGCATGGAATATGTTAATTAGATAACATAGCTATTCCATAACAGATCGTACCCGCAGCTGCATACACATGAGAATCACAACGGGAGCTTTTAATTTAAGTATTTAATTCGTGAGAATACCCTTTTAATTAGTTTCGATTACGTGTCGGTTTGCGGCAAAATGCCCGAATCGGATCTAGATTATTAGTTTATGGCGAAAATGAAATATAATGAAAAGATAATATAAAACATTATAATAACGTTTTTTCTTTTATCAACGTCTGTTTGTATCTCGAAGAAGGAAAACGATTATAGGTTTTCAAGAAGGGCAGTTAAAAGGTAATTATAAAGAGCCAATAATATTGAAAGGAATAGTGGATCGTTGGGCTAGGGATAATTATGTTCTAAGAGAAACAAGAAATGGGAATGAACTTAATATTTTGTAGATTATTTTGCAGACCTTCTTACGTCCGCTTTTATTGTGGAACATTGTATATTCTAAATTATTAAACAAAATGACGTTGTCATTTAATAAAGAGACAAAAAAATAGCCTAATTTGTCATTGGTGGGAGTAGATGTGAAGCTTCGTGAACGTAGCCATCGAAATACTTGATACCTACCATTCTCGAATGTAACTTGTCAGTGTCCCTTATCTGGGTGCCTTCTTCGCCGATTGTGTCTATAATCTCGTGGCAAAGCCAACTCTGAATTTCAGGATGGCTGCTAATCAGCGAGAAACATTAGTGCTGCATTTCTTACAATTTGTTCATCAATGAGTCCTGCCATCGTTTCGCCTTTCTCGTGTTTATCGTCATCTGCACCAGACGTTGCCAGCAGTTGCAAATCTGTGTTCACCACTGTAGTGGATAGATTGTATAAAATAATAGCAATTTTCATTAACAGTAAATTGAATTGTTTGGTTCTCATTGTGTATTAGTGGGTCTTGTAGATACCAAGAACTATTTTTATTTCCTATGAGTAGAAAGAGTGCTTACCATTTTTGTCAATGAAGGCTTGCAACGAATTGTTCTTTTGCTGTTCATGCCGTCGAACTTCAACAACCTTCGTTGCTTCTACACACAAACTGAGAAATACACGAGAAATTCTATTAAAACTAAACAAGGAAGGGAAAGATCGTTAACTATCGGTAGTTAAGTCCACCTTATAACTAATTATTGCATCGATGAACTTAAAGAGGATCCTACAACAGCATCTCCAACCAGTGGAGATGCATCATCTTGAGTGTTCGTATCAGTTCCGAACGCTGAATACCCACTGTCACCCGTTGTGAACCTTTTTAGAAAAGGGTAAATGTCGAACTGTTTGGATTTCCATTTTCACAAATTCGGCTTGAAATCTTTAATGCTTTTTACAACGAGCGATGTCATTTGTGCTGATGAAAATTATGGCGTAAACACGTTGCGAACATTCCTTTTTAATGCACTTCTCCCCAGTGTTGCTATGGCACGCATCATTGACTGCGCCATCTCAAAAACTATTATTGGAGTATGGTTCGAGAACTTCTTAATCAGTACTATGCAGTGGAGATCGAAGTCAGTCGTGATTAGCCTGGGTTTATCACTCAAAATATGCCAGATGTGTCCCCATATTCTTTGGTTCATTTATCAAACCGGAACACATAATCTGATTGAATAAGGTGGCAGCGGCCCCAAAGAAGGTGCGGCTTTATCCTAAGGATCCTCTCTTTTTGAAGTAACTAAAGAGTTCCCAGCACCGGCGTACTAACTCCAGAATCGGTGCGATCATAAACACTACCACCATACTGCTCAGCATCACAAAGGATCTTAAAGATTCCTGGAATCGAAGACAAATCGGTTTTAATGGTTCTAATTGCCACTAGTGTTGCTTTTAAAAGGCTGGCTTTGACAATATCATGATGCATTCAGGTTAATAAAACGCAAATACTGATGCTTTTTTTTTTTTGAAATACAAGCAAGCACAATAGACACTTCCGCGCACCTGTTAGACTTCACGGGGTTGGCTAGTCTGGTCTATAATGAAGACGGTTCAGGCGATATATTTTGTTTCGTTTGGGTTATTATTTGAAATAAACGAGTTGAGTGTTTTTTAAATTTGCCAGGATCAAAATGTATTAATACGTATACTTATCGAATTATTATTGGGATATTTAGTGCTTTAGAGATATTTAGCAAATCTCGGTCATCGTATACGCTGTATATAAAGGCAATTCACCAAAACGTCCGCAGCTTTTGTCACCTTAAAGAACAAAAGCTGGCGGAAGCAGAGGCTTCATTAAAAACACTTCTCCATTTTTGTTTGTTTCTAAGCCATCAGTCTAGCTGTCCTACAGTTAATAGTTTGCACTAATCGAATACCTTCCAGTACACACCCTGCGTTCATAAAGGCGTCATTATTAACTAGATTCCTTTAGCTTTATGATACCCCAGTATCATCGTAAACTGAAGATGTCACAAAATACCTATTGATTATAGACATGTGCTAGATTGGTTTAAATTCTACTAAACACCTGTGACTTCCACGCTTCATGATGGATCTTCGGTACTTTAATGAAAATATCAGAGACAAGTTATGTTAGTAAACGTTACGGTTCTATCATCTTTTACATGCTAAACCTGAAATTTAGGCTCAACCGTATACATTAAAATCATTTCAATTCATTCAAAGTAAAAGCTGATTACAAAACCTGTATTAGCTGCCAAGTTTTTTTTTCTTAGATTTTAGATAGTGCTAATAATTTTTGTGGAGTGTGCAATTTTAGGTCGCCAGTGACTTCAGTTAGTATCTATTTCAGGGCAGCCTTCCACTCGGCGCCCAGGGAATGGGTTATTCTCACTCTGGCTGAGGTAAATCTCCTTATAAACGTGCTCAAGCTTCTGGTTGCGATTCTTCAGGACAACACAATAACCACAGTCAACAGAGCGACTGTACCACCGCCTTTCACGCAGATAACTGTCCTAAGTCAGAAGTACAAGCTAAGCCCTCTCTTATTCCTTGTCTTCCTGAAGGGTTTTTCTAATCAAATAAGAAGGACGAAGACATCTTCCATACAGACGACCTAGTGATCTACAGGCCAAACAGGTCTCAAGTGGAATAAGATCTAACTCGGCTGCATACGGATGGCTGCGTCACAGGTTTGAGATTGTTCTTAACCTGGCATAAACGGAGGTGATGAGGTTTAAAAGAAAAAAGAGGACGGCGGCCACTAACACCATGTACGCCGCCAAATTGTCTTTCACCTATGTTAATTGGATTCCATACATGGGGATGTTTTTGTGCACGTTACCGAAAGATACATGAAGCTACATGGAAGATCAAATCGCCTTATCTCTCTCAGCCAGTTCGACCTCAAAGTAGCTACGATCGCAGCGTATGAAATATGCATAACTTGGAAAGGACTTTCAACGAAGAATCTTCAACACTTAAATTGCATCAAAGCCTTCTTGTTCAAAGGGCACTGAAAGCACTCATGACGACTCAAACCACTTCATATGTCTCATAGCCGACTCGCCACTTTTGTTCGAAAACCTCAAAATTTAAGCAATGGAGACCTTTAGGACCAGTGTCACAGACGAGTAGCAAAATCTAGTAGAGATAGATGGGTATTTCTTTAATTTGGGTGCGGTCAGGAACAATGAGTGGGAAGTGGCGCACCGGCTAAGCTGACATGTCGTCACTAGCTTTGCCGTACATAAGTGTCACCATAGACTCTGCAGAAATCGGGTTTTTATGATCCTGAAAGGTGCGGGGGAGCTTGCGATAAATGTCATGCTGCTTGCTGCCCCCTGTTATCAGTTTTAGGATATTTGGGAAATCTCTTAATTAGTTTTATAGATTCACTGTAGGGTTTTTAATGGTCCTATATACTCACTCTGATCCTGGGATATTGTGTTGTAGACCTACGTACAATTTATCTAAAGTGTTTGACTATTACTAACAAAGATAAATAATGAAATAGCGTAGTATCGGTCATGTTACCCAGTATGTTTACAACGCCCATGGATTTCAACATCGGCTAACATGTTACATGCAAAATAAAGAAACTTTGCATTTCGATATTGTTGCTCATATATATCAGCAGTCATGTTTGATCGTTATTGAATTTCCTGTATGAATGCCTAAAAAATTAATGTAAAGAAGAGCATACCATAAAGTTCACTCTAATGAGAAAACGAATTTTTCGTTAATCCGAATTCAAAAATAAAAGTTGAACCATAACATTAACATAAAAGCAATGCTTGATGATGAATATTGATTTCAAAAAAGAAATATAAGTATACACTTCGGTGATAGCGCGGTAGTAAACAGTCTTAATGAATTATGTCGAGTGCATTATATAAAATATTCCTTTTCTTTTTTTTCTTTTTTCTAGATGAGTGTATAACTGGCTTTCTTTTTCGCATTGGAAGTTTTCTACTACGCGCCATTCAGGAATGTATCTGGGTAGAGTTGTCGCGCTACAAAGCGCGACGACTTTATTTTTCCGATTGGCGATACGCACCTGCAATCGGGTCATTCCTACGATGTCATATCTGTTACTCATATCTATGAGGAAGTGGATGATATTATATATCTTTTCAATTTACTCACGGGATTTAGTCAGTTTTGCCCTGCAAACAAGCCATGCGCATGTGGTACTCAGATACATATATATTTATTCAAAGCGATAACATTTGCCTGTTTATGACAATGCTCTCGTGCGGAACTCTCTGAACCATTTTCAGACCACTAAGGCCGTCGAACAGTGACTTCTGGTGTCCATTTTAATTTCTGTAGTCTTCTCCTTCTGTTACACAGGTGAAATATTAGATCGAAACAAGATATTTAAATGGACTATGCTTTGCTTTTATTACAACTTTTCACTTAACTTCAACACTCGATGGCTTCCTCAACGAAGCTGTTAATTTCTTACACTATATTTAGTACACGTAGGAGTACATTAGTGAGGCCCAACGGTAAGATCTTGAAGCGGAACATACGGTTCACCTTTGTTATCTTTGAAAAGATTAAGTTATTGATGATGGTCCGCAAGCAACACAAACGTAAGGCCGTAGATAAATCTGTGGAGCGCTAAATGGAATAGATAATAGTAAATAATAAATAATGACTCGCTTTATATACATATATATATATATATATATATATATATATATATATATATATATATATATACAATGAGATAACATTTTCCATTTGAGACTTAAACCACTCACCAATCGTTTTCAGAATTTTCCTTCTTTAATTCGCAAATAGCTTGTCAATACCAACTGTACGTCAAACGACACTGATAAGTGCAAATTCACTAATATAAAAATACACTATATATAAAAAAATTTCAGCGGAATTAAATTTAGCATTGATAACAGGCCAAAAGTCTCAAAACGGCAAATCTGGAAATACCCAAAAAGTGCAAAAAGACGCAGTAAATCTCGAGAAGACTAGCCGCTAAAACTAATCTGACGACCCAATTACAAATTAATTTTCCTCTTCAGAATGGTCGTTACCGTTTGTTTCGTGTGTCAAAAATAACTTGAATAATTTTGGTCAGTTTTTGAGTACTTTAAATCTAAAACCCAATGAGGATCGATACTCCGGTTTGCCTCATGAAGATTTTCTCGATATTTTAAGAAACCGCATATTAATCGGCAAAGACGCAGGCCGTTGATACTGGGCGAAAAAGAGTTTTCGATTTTGGCAAGGGCTCGTGCTAAGGAATTGAGTAACAGCCCATTTTCATTTAAATTGCGAAAATCATTGTTTTTTTACCAAGACGAGTTTGTTGTTCTAACAAAACTGGACCTTCTAGGACCAACAATGACGGACGAACGTATGCCTGTCACGATGAACTGCGCGCCCAAATCTGCCCCAATTTAGATGTCATATTCTGCAGAATCGCATTTTGTCCATTCATTGGGTATAAGTAAGATACAATAACAAAAGAACCTTTAATACATAATAATTGATGAAGAGCGTTCAATCAGTTGACAATTACTTTTATTTATATTATTGTTATTATACCATTATTAATTTACATCATGTTTACACTGTTGCGTTCATATGTGACTGCTCGTTAATTCCTCTTTGTAATCACAATTGCATGCGCGCTAAGTGCATTAATAAGTGCAGGCAAATCATTGAAGTTTGTTAGTAGCGCAGTGACAGAAGAAGTTCGAAGGTAATTCTGTTAAAGGCAGTTAACCGTGGGCCTTGTGTAGTAAATTCCTGTCGATACTTCCACACACAATCCAACGGAGCCATTAAGTGTGCGCAAAAATGGAACTTACGTCCGTCGTGTTCTGCTTTCTGCATGAATATTTTCAGTAGTTCCTCTGTTTTCTATCTTGCGATGCTACGTTTGGATTTAAAAAAATCTTGATTCGTTGGTGCTTGACCGCCTCCTTTCCTATAAGAGTAATAATCAGACTAACGCAACTATTCTATCACATGTTGCTCACTTCAGTCTATGTCGCTAAACACATTACTACGATTTGCTATATCATAAGAAATCGTAATAGCAAATCACCACGTATGTCAGTAGCGACGAAAAATAAAAACGTATAAAATGAATATATTTGTGATATATTGTTATATAGTAGGGACATTCAAATGTACGATCGTTACGATCGAGTACAGTCGATAAAAACTATGTCTACAGCTTTTTACGTGGAATCAAAAGACGGGAAAAAGAGGTACTCTTATCGTCTTTTGTCTATATAGGGATATCCTCATAACTTACAATATCAGTACAAGTAGGTACTTAAAGTTTGTTTCATTATCTGACTTCGTATGACCTTGTTGAACTGAGTTGAGCTGTCTGTATAAAGCTTGTCAATCATATTGTATAATAGCTTGTGAAATGAGATAGACAATGATGCACATTAGACATAATGAATAGAATTAAATAGATAAATGCTAACCAGTTTTCTTTTATCTAGATACTGCCTTTAATGTACAAAGGCACAGCTTCAGATCATCTTAAAACCGGCAGCAAAAGAGCAGCACTAAATTGTGGTAGTGTGTGCCACAAGTCCAATTATTTCACCCCCAAAACAAACTGGTTATATCGCATACGTTATCGTTAGATGACTCATTGCCCCATCTATACTCAAGAGAATCACAAGTCATCTCTACGACAATCCAGTGGCCGATTCAGCGGGACCTGCGCAACGTTGTCTGCAGGAGGAACAAATGGAAGCATGTCTAACGGTGGCGAGTTCGAACGTTCCTCAAGGCTGCGCACCTGTGCTGGACATTCGAAATGAACGCAGTGAAATACCTGCAAGACGAAGACAGTAGTAGTACACAGATACTGTTATAAAAGAATGCGAATTAATGCATTTTCGTTATACACATAAGTTATATTTGTCACTATCTTTCGGAAAATGGCTAACAATACAGAGTTACGGGAAGACTCAAAACGGGACTGGAGCTTACCTCGTTCGCGGTATTGTGCGTGCCAATGATTTTGATAAAGACCACGGGTAATGGTTCGAAAGTCAAAATTTGCCAGGAGCGGCACAACTGACCCGTCCTATCGGCAACGCGGGTCCATTCCTTCTTGTCAACAGATGTCTCAACGTAATACGAATAGGACCTCGTATCACAGTCCCACAGCAGAAGTCGCATTGAGTCAATCATATATGGTTGTGGCAGCTGAACCACTATATAACCGGAACCTAGTTGATGACATGTGTAACCCGAGTCCCAATCGTAGTCGGTGAAGTTTCCATTGATCAACGTATCCCGCGACCGACTCACGCCCTCAACAACACAAGCTTTCCGCTCCACCGACGCCACATTCTCTTCTGGTACAGATATGCCTTGGCTCAATTTGAACGGGTTCGAGCTGTACATTGCTTCGAGTGATACTAGGTGAAAAACGTTATTAACAGCGTTATGGGTGCCAACGACACGAATATAGCGTACAACTCGAGGATCAAAGTACAGCTTCTGCGTGGAGCGGCACAGGTACGTCGAATGGTCAATGATGCGACACCAATCTGCACGGTTCAGCGAAACCTCAATGTAGTACGAGTAAGAACGTGAATCTTTGTCCCACAGCAGCAACACGATATGGTTTATGATAAACATGCCGCCCAGGTCAATGGTGATCCCATTTTCATCTTCGATGTTATGTCGCGTAAAACCGCGGTCGCCGTCGTAAGAGCGTTCCGATCTCGGCTGAAGTAGTTCCTGCGGCTGTTCGCCTGTTACCACTTGTGCACCGTGCTGGGGTACGGCTATGTTCTCGTCAATGATCAGTTGGCCGCGATAATTTAAATCTACGTCGAGGCATTCTTTCTTCGTCTTGATCGCGTCGAGAAGGCAATCTGCGCTAAATAATTTCGAGTTTCGAACCAAGCCAAGAATATCACCAGTATCCATCAACGGAAGACGAACTTTCTCGAGTATTTCTGTCATTGTTCCTTCGGAGACAAGCTCCTCCTTATCAACGTACCACCGATGCACTGCTTCGAAAATGTCTATTTCCTTGGCGTAAAATGAGTCACGTAAAAGCATCTCATTCAAAGCGCCAGCCGACAACTGAAGAAAGGCATCACTGTTCAAAATTAGCGCAGCATGCCGGTCAATAAAGCGACAGCATGTCTTTGATAATTGATCGAGACTGTAAAGTTGCGCCTTATCGTACACCGCACAGACGTTACGCACAGATAGGATTTCCTGAAGATAGCGGCATATCGCACCCTGAAGCGCCTCGAAGCCATACTGATGCGCGAGCTCAAGCATGTCGAGAAGCATATCCTCTTTAAGACCACTCAAGGAAAGACGGCCGGTGTATATGTAGCGCAATAGCAATTTAAACGCCTTTAACGGAGCATCCGGAAGTTCGACCTCTTTTTGGGTAGATTCCCGCATCCCTCCATAGAGAAGAGCCCTACGAATTAATTAGAATATTCATATGATTTGAATAGTTGTTATACAATAAAAATAATCGGTAACTAAAAAGCCGTTTAAGAATGGTATCGCAAGCGCCAGCCCACTTTTTAAAATTATTACTACTTGAAATAAAAATATGGACCAAAAATTTTAGATAAATAGTGCATCCTATATATACGTTGAGCGAAAAGTCATACTGTCGACAAAACTAGAGCACAAGATATGTGGTACAAATGATTCGTTGCACTATACACCTACCGAAAGTATTCGCAGCATGAGGCAAGTACAAGTCTGTGCGCCTGAAGACGCTCACCCTCGACCACGAGGGTGATGTCCGAGTAATTCGCGCTTGACAGCAGAGACCCGATCCACTCAGAGAGGTGTGATGCATGGTCTACCTCCGAGTGTCTTAAGGAGTCGCTCTGGTCGCTCATTGTACCTCTATGTGGTTACGGGCCACGTATTCCTCCCACCACCTTAGCCTATTCTTCTGTTCTTAGATTCTATCTGTCTTCCCCAAGCACGCTGAGACAAGAACAGATGGCTTTGTTATCCCCCAGGAGCTCTTCAACGTCTGGAATTTTCGGCCTACAAACAAACAAGAGCTGGAAAATGTATTTACATTTAAGGAGGCTGCAAAACGAGATTTAAAAGTGCGTCGCAGACTACTATGTGTGCTTCGCGAAACGTGCTTTCTAAAAATTATTCACGATCTCTTTTAGAGAAAGTGTTCTATTCCATGCATTTAATAAAAAAAACATACAGCAATAGTTCGCCCTTGAAGATATTGTATCCTTCGCTTGCATGTAAATTCACGAGCGAAGCACTGATATCTCTGTAACAGTATTAGCCTCGATTCGCTAGGCCGCAATAATATACATGCAGATTAACAAAAACTATTAAAAGTTTCGAAACCTGACATCAATGTGAGGGCTCGTTGTAGGATTAATCTAATCAAACCGAATTGAATTTCATTAACAACAAATGAAAAAATGAGTGTGTTAAGGCAATTGTTGTTTGGATAGATACCTGGCTTTAGAAGATATAGCCCGGATCTTTTCTTGAACTTTCTTACGAAACACACACAACGGTGTCATTCTCGTAATAACCAGTGGTAATGTGTTGGCACACTAAACTTAAGGACACATGATGTAATCTAAGTTCAAAGCAACATTCAAAGCCAGGCATAACGGCACTAATGGGTCTAAAATTAACAATTTTTATAATGTGTGGTGTTGTACTAGTAATTGGTTAGAAAACTAAGTTGTACAAGCGACGGAAAATAATGCTTAGTATTTTATTTTGAACTAGCAAATGATAAGGCAGCAATAACAGACAAATTATATATCTTTTCTCTGTAAAGATTTCTTTAAATCACCGAAGCCAATTTTAATTGCATTATAACTAGTGGCCAGTGGACTTCACGAAATAAGAATGGTAAGGAGCGGTTTTGTTAGCTCGTATTATCAATTATCATAGTAAAATCGTTTTAAATGTGGAGTTACTACTTTTTATTTTTCCTATTTAAGCAAAAGTAGTCCTATCGAGGAGGCAAAAAAGGTTCGACGTGGCCCAAAACAATATCATGACTTAGTTGGGAGACTTACGCAACACGGTATACATTGTTTGAAAGATAAAACCTTCAATGATCCAGTAAGTAGGCAAGAAACACCACGAACTGCATAAAAAAAAAATGATTTTGTTGACGAACCTTTTACCGTAACAAAAATATTCTCGTGACGATAACGATTCTACCCAATTTAGGTATACAACTAAACAGTTTAACTTAGTTACCAGCCTTTAAAGACATATATATATATATATATATATATTTCGGCTGGTATATATATAAGGGGAGTACAACATACAAAATATTTCATTATAATAATTAATTATAATTTCAGTCTTCATTTACAGTATTTGTAAAACTTCCTATATGAAATGCTAACTTTCCTTCTTAATGCAATAGTTAAAATTTTTTGCGTTTCTAGCCAATAAGCTTCTTATAATGGTGGGCTCTTGATTCACAAACGCGATTTCTCGTTATGTCGCTTTTCTGGCGTAGATTGTCTCTAAGGTATCTTCACAAAAACTCATTCGCGTCAGGTCGGTGGGTTGAGCAGTTACTCTACCGTCAAAAAAGATTTATTCAAGTAAATTATGACGTACATTTTTTGAGACATCCGGTATATATTTACCACCTGCTGCTGTTTACTAGACTAACATGGTACGAAGCATTGTCACAAATCCAATATAGCTTTTTTTGGTACTAATCATGAAAATTTGTTTATGATCGAATCAATATCTTCACTCTCGAAATGTCAAGCGCTTATTTTTATGTAGAAAAATACATCAACGATCATGAGAACCTGTTATATACATGTTATACAGTTGGTACATGCATCTTTTCCCAGAGGTTCATAGACTCGCTGCAATTCGTTTTCAACAACGTATTTCGTAGCGTCTTAGTTCGTAGTCACATGATGGGTGTTTGCGACGCATACATGGCAGGTACAAGCTCAGCTTTAGTGATGCTGTTAATTTAAAATTAAATTCTTCACCGAGAAGTCTTAGCGCGATCAAAAATCTGGTTGCCACTTTAGATGAACAGAATATTTTGGAAACCTAATTGGGCTACTTTGGTATCGGTGGCAAAAGAATGGCATCGTGCCACAAGCTGTGGCACCGCTGCATTAAGAACGTGAATCGGATACGGAAAACAGCACAAAGCAAACATTGATTAACCTCGTACATTCAACACGTCCGTGCTACTCAGGGTAACCGGTCAGCTTACACAAATGTATAGCCTATTATCGACTGTCAATAGCAACACTACTCATAGGATATACATATAAATTAACATTATTTGAATAGTGTGTATTGGACAAGTCAAAGAGAGCGGGTAAACTGTGATTGAATGCTCAAGGTTCCAGCAGCTGTAGCAGAAGCATCACCATCCAACCCAGATGGCTGCCTCCGGCTTAGGGTAATAAAACGACTTCAACCTTCAACTCACTTCCGCCACTGTTTGTTATCACGGATAACTGAACTTCAACAGTAGCCATTTGCACTTTGTAGGTCAGTCCGTACGTGCTGCAATACCTGTACTGCTGCCTATGAAGATCCCGCAAAAATGCAGCGTTGAAAAATGTGGTCATTGTGCTTGTCTAGATTTATTTAGATGACGTGACTTCGCCTCTATCTTGCTTCAATATTGTCAGATCTGTCAACGTTACTCAAAATTTTCTCAGGCTTCACTAAGCAAATTAGCTTACTTTTAATGCCGCTGGTTTATTAAGGATGAATGGGCGCCACTAAGAACGAATTCGTATAGGGAATACACTGATATTTCACCCGGCCGTAGTCACTCACATACGCTCATACAGGAAGATCAAGTGATTACAGCTAACACAATAAAGCAGCTGTAGCACAGAAGCATTAAACGGTGGATGATAATGTGCACACATCTACCCTGCAACATTGACTTCGCTGCTGCCGATCGACGGCTGGAACTTCATTACAGATCATCGTTTACATCAACATTAGTAACGATGATGGGGGTATGTAGCAGACGACTACAGCTCCGGTGGACCATTGAATTAGTAGCAATGTAGCGTTCAGCAGACGATAACTCAAATGAGTCAGGCCTCTGGTTGAAAGAAACCATGGAGTTGCTGCTTCAGGCACCGCCAACGACAGTTTACATTTGGGCGATCAGTGAATGGCGGCAATTTTAAATTTTTTTTTCATAGTTGTTCATGCAGTGGTTAAAGAGTTCACCGGCTAAACTGAGAGACACATTGTGGTATAGGTTCGAATCGGGCGTAAACACACTTCGTCTCGCGCCGGGAGCGGGTTGTCTGAAGTAATGGTTGATCGCGTAACGTCTGATCATAGCAAAAGGGTATTCATAGCTTTCGTAAGTAAAAAAAAAAAGGTCAAAATGGTGTAGTGGGACACAAACCAGTCTCAAAATAATGCCGATGGTCATCGAGAAGCGCAAATTTGCTTGCGTTCATGAAATCTATGCCATGAATTACTAAATCTTATCTAAAAATTTAAACTTATGCGCAAGAAGATATTAAAAAGATATTTTGAGTTCTGCTGTATATCCTTCACATATGGAAATCCTCTTAGATATGTGTGGACAGACACACTACTGGTGGATGTTAATTTAACATTTGTAAATGGGTTTATAAAGTGCTTTGAATTTTTTTCGTTTTGGAACCATGGGTAAACATACAAGGTTGAATTCTTATGTGCTGTTAGAGTTCGAAAGCAGACGTAATTAGCATAGTAAAAATTGTTAGATAATATTACCAAGTAATGTTTTGTAAATTTATTTTTAATTAATCAGTCATTGACTTTTAACTGGTTATTAATGCTGGCATGCACTCAAGGAAAAATGAGCTTTTTTCTTCCTTTCTTTGCTTTTATATAGCAAAAATGCATTATATTTTATAGTGCTATATTTAATTCATTAGGTCACACAGCAAAGCAATTGGCTATTTTTATGCATACCATATTCTCAAATACCGTATCATTTTGATGCACCATCGTGAACTAACTGCTCCGTAAGCACTACCGGTAAGCAACATGAGATCACAGGGCTTCCTAAAAATCTGAGAGTAGCATATGCAAGTCATTCGAATGAGCGCAGGAGTTTCTGCAGTTTACAGCAGGTGAACTACTTTCTCAGGTATAAACGGCGTTCTTTTTATCGAAGAGAGAAAAAGCCAGCGCTAACTTGTATTATCACTATTACTTTTTGTGTCCGCAGTCTTGATAAAAATAACAGATCAAAATGTGACAGTCAAAATTTTCCAAAAATGACACTTGTCAAAATCAATGGGTAACTTGCCTTTACCGTACAAAGGCGTCTCTATGTGAGAGCAACATAGAAGTATACGATTGGTGGATTGAACTGAATCCCCCAACAGGAGTTGCGTATATTCAATTATATAGGGATGTGACAGCTGAATGATTATACAGCCGTAAAACAGCTTGCCTTTTACAGGTCCTAGAGGTGCAGCATAGTATGGTTCTTCAAATGACACTAACCAGACATTTAATTTTTCGTCAGGAAAAGACTTGTCATCAGCAAAAGGAAAATGTATGTTTCGAACCTTGGAGCTTTTGTCAATTATGATAATAGATAAAAATGACATTTTAACTTCTTGCTTTTTGTTAATAGGTAATAACTAATTTTTTAGGGTTGTTTCAACAATAGTTTATTGATCCTAACTGATGGAAATGTTTTCTTACATCTTTATCGAATCTTTCAGATCATAGTTTAAAAATTTGTCCACGTGGTTACAACAGCCGGTAATCAATCTTAACCTGAATTCTGAATCTGCCAGTGTCATTCTAGTGAATCGTGCCTTTCCGCGTTCTGATGTCCTCACTTTGACCTTTTATGCTTACGTACGTGTATTATCAAACCGACTGACTTTGAATGAGCTTATGGATTGCATTTATTGACTTTTGACAGTGATATCATTTGATTGGCCAAAAATCGTTTTCTATGGTTTATTGTCAACGCTAACTTGTGTATTATAGGGGAACTTTCACCGTCCAGAGATAAGTAATTATCTCTTAGTTACAAAGCAAAACTCACATTTAGGACCACCCGAATTATCGATTTATCCTTGGTTTCTCCGTCCTTTGTGAATATTTACATGCTATAATTTACTGCTCAGTTCTGCTGTTACTTTACAACTGTTACAAAAATCACTTTGCTTAGCCAAAATGCAAAAATAGTCTCCTTTGTTTTTCAGTGGACTGTTTATCACAGTCTTATGTCGCGTGAATGTCCCGGTGATGCGGCGGTATGGGTAGCGTGTGTGCCTACCTTATATAAGAGAATGTGGTGATGTGGGCTTCAATCCGTCATTAGGACGCTTCGTTTTGTGGTGAGATCCAATGGTCTGATAGAATTAATTTGTAACTACACGTAGAGCTTGAAACATTGCGTTAATACGTCCGAGAATTACCAAATTAATTACAAATTACGCGTCATCGTATTAAGCGATAACTTGATAGCGTTTGTTCAACATTTAAATCACTGATAAACTAAGGACGTAAGACGAATCAAAGGATGCCGACCAAACTTTACGTTCCAACCAACCACGTCCATAGATGTATAATAATTATACGAATAACATAGTACGAAGTCGTAATTATGAGTTTTAGGTTTTTATTGCTGATTAAAAAAGGTCTCACATGAGAGACCTTATAGCTCTTATGTACAAATAAAAAGCGGGGTTTCTGTTATACATATTTATATATAAATCCCGTGCTTATGTACAAATGATATTCTCCTGGCGGCTTTTACGTAATGAATTCAACTGACAAGAAACTTCGTGTGCTTCAGTTTGAGCTTAGTACCGTTATGTATCTGCAAGTATTTGTTTAATCATAAAAGCGTGCTGGAAAAGCAAATTCATTGGCAAAGTCGCTCTTGACAGAGGCTTGAAGTATCGCTCTTAAAAGGCACTGTGAAAGCTGTGCCATACAAGAGAACAGGTGATAATTAACTGGACCAGCTTTTATAGTCAAATATGCAATTGTCTGATCCGCCGCAACGTCAAATGCAACTACCCCATTACGATACAATTTGGACTATGCTGGGAGTCATCTGGGGTTGACTCAAGTTGTGCCGATGACATATTGTGCGCAACCCATGGAGAGAAGTTTTTTGTTTGTATCCCGTATGTTTTTGCTTATACTTCTTTTTGATGTAAGTTTTACCTCGTCGATTTGTATCGAGCGACGAAATCATATACATTGATGCAAATTATAACTATTAATTAAATATAGACGCAGTCCACAAACTCACGTTTAACGATACGATGGACTTGACTGGCTTCCAGCTGCTCAATTGCTTGCATTTGTCTCTGTTATTACAGCGAAAGAGATGCTTAGCAGCAAATGACTACTACTCTTCATCATCGTAACTCCACGATCTGCAGTGGTACAGATCATCATTTCGATAAGGCTTTATTGCAGGGAAACACTAATCACTTACAGGCGGCAAAGGCGGATTCAAAGCCTGCCTTAGAAAGTTGCTGCCACATCGGCCTCGCTAATACTTAAGAAAGTGGCGTGCGAGCTGATGATCAAAGTGCGTTGATTTTTAAACCTCATTTATTTTGCTTTTCTTTATGCTTTTGCTGTGTGTTGGAATCACTGAAAAACTTAACCTTGCTTAATAACTGAGAAACTTTTTGTAAGACAAGCGAACAGTTTGTGGATAAAGAAGTTTAAGATCAGAGAACGAAATTGTGTTAACTGCTTTAAAATAGTTCAATTGTACTCATTTTATGAAATTTCCAGTAACACTACAATGTATCTTTTCGATTTCCTTCTTTCCTTAACAAGCATTATTAAAAGTTCGGGGTGCAACTTATTTCTGGTAGAATGAAGAACTTCCGTTTTTAATATTTCTAACGCATGTTTTGCTCTACGGTCTAAATTGCAATGAGCACAGGTGTCAAAGCATTTGTTTAGAGTGTGTACAAATGTTTACTCTGGGCTAGGTATCATGTTTGGTTTATAACAATAACTTGTTCGAAGCGTATGCTTCTTTCATTTAGCTGTCACAGCCATATTACGTAAGGAAGCCTGCAATTCAAGTGAAGTTAGACGTTTCCTTGCACCACTCTTCAAGGAACGCGCTATAAGTACCTACCTAAAACTTTTTACGCTGCTCTGTACTTCTGGACCTGGATCGTCCCTGTAATCATAAGTGGTCGCGGCAGTGATATTATGGCCCAGTGCGTAAGCTGAAACCTAGCATTTACTGGTGCCCCCGACGCACAAACACCGTTTTTCGGGCATTGCAAACTACACGCAGTTAGTATCAAGACAAATTAGTTAAAAATAAAGTAGATACAAGCAGTTCATAAATGTACTTAGAGCATTATGCTGTAGGCATCAGGTTATCGTGATTAAAAAATCCGCCATTTCAAATATTTAGGTGTGGTGATTCACAATTCAAAATCGACACGAAGCTAATTGTAGAGCAAAATTGCGAGTTTACAAAGGCTGAACTGTTATCCTACACGGTTGATCCAGATTAAATTTCAAGACTTAATAACATGAATCTATTACCTTCGTTTTGCTGTCATTAACGGTAAGATAATAAGTTGGCAGAAACAAATCCCCGTTCTTTAAATAATAAAAACGCAGCATTTTATTCGAATTTCAGCTACAAATTTGTTTATGTATCCGGTTTATTGTGTATTAATCGTTCGGTCCTCCGATGTTGAAGAATTCATCTAGCCATTTTTTAAAACTTTTTCCATCGTTAAACATACTGCTCGAATTTAATTTACTAGTAATTGGAAAAAGTAATCTATCGGTCTTCAAAATACGGTAAAGGCAAGACAAGCTTCCACTGAAGCACTTGCAAGGCGCTTTTAACGAGTTTTGTCACGTGGGCTTCGCTGCTGTACTGGAGAAAGACAATTTGCTTTGTGTATGGGATTTGCTCTGTTGCACGGCCACGTTTACTCGTTGCAACTAAACCATATAGCACACCTTGTCGATCATAATGTTTTTTCAAGTATTTCTCTGTTAATAAGATGTCCAGCCAACGTTATTAGATACAGAACACGGTCGTTTTCTAACGAAAATCTGTTTCAATTAGCTGTTTAAAGATATCATCCTAAGCCAATGATTCTTTCCTCTGCTCCATATTGAAACAGAGACATCATTTTTCGTCAGCAGCGACAATTCTGTCTGGGAACCTGTATTTGTGACCGTGTAGTGCTTGACCCGGCAAAATGTTGAAGGAGAGTAAAATGCAATTATTCTTCCTGCGTTTTCTTTAGCTCACCGAGCTCTGGGACTCCTATTTCTTGGGTAAACCTCATCGAAGAAAAATTACTGTTGGTAATCACACAACCATAGTTGATCTTTTCAGTCAATTTGGAATTGTCTGCGGGCTATATTTTTTTAGAAATGCTTCCAGGCGATCTGCATGTACTTTAGAAGGTTGGCTGCAACGGGGTGAGCCTCTACGTCCAAGTTGTAAACCAAGACGAAATAAGGTAGACATTAAGAAGTAACTTTTTTTTGACAGCTCTTTGGACTTAGAATTGATTTAAAATTCGATCCAACACACAACGAAGCCGAAACGACTTTATACAGAAGGAAGAGCACAATCAAATGGTACATAGGAGTAAACAAGCAGTGGAAACGAAAAAGAATAGGGAACATTTAAATAAAGTGGATATTACTTTTTAACCAACTGGACAGACAGGTATATTTCGACGTATATATGGCTACAAAAGCAGTCTAAAGGCGGTGTTTATTTGTCAGGACCTGCCAAAAACTGCCGTTATGTATGATCTGGTTGCATGTGCGTTCTGCGCTCTTGGATGACTTCTTGAACATTCCACTAACCCTTTCTTTGTCAAGGTAATTCTATCGGTAATTTGAATTTTTGTACTTTTGACCGATTCATATTTCAACCTATGTTACTGAGTCATATTTAGTTAAATGACTCCTAAACGATGCCCTTATCACTAATGTTCTTCCATTGCAGCATATATTATATGCTATATGTGTATAAATGTATAGATAAGAGCATATGTAACTTATGATATAATGTTAGAGTGTCTAGATATTTAAATAGATTTGTACTGAACCGCTAAGTTGTTAACATCTTTGAGATTATTCGGTTAAATATGGTGCTGTTTGTCCAATGTTTGGTTAAACAAGTACTTTCTTTTTCTAACCATACGTTCAGCGTTTTCAATAAATAGAAAGAGCACTGTTTTGCAAAACGATGATTATTTCTGTCAAAAATAGCGTTCCATAAAGTCAGCATACGTATTCCTCAGACATTATTCTTTGAAGAATAATTATAGGTTCTTTGCTTTTGTTGTAATTGTCCGAAACTTTTCTCTCCAGGACGAGAATCATCCCAAAATAGGTAGAAGTTCCAAGTGCCCCTCTAAAAGCATTTGAACTATTTTTGACTTATATATGTACGGGTCAATTGTTCTTGAGTGGACTAGAGAAAAGCACACTTCTGGACATTCTTGAACTTCCTTATTAACATGGGCTTACATTGCTACAGGTTGCCGCTTCTTGTTACCTCTTAGAAATACGGTCAGTACCTAATGTATGCATTGTAGACGACAAAGCAGACTTTTACCATCTAGAACAGCTATCATGGATCGTCACGCTGTCAACATCTTGAAAAGTGAAGTCTCCCCTTAGTTTTAAAAACATAAACGTGTTTAAAGCCATGTACCGTGGTACGTCGACAAAAATGGTAGCGCCTCTTCTGAAATTTTTACGAAATACTTAATTAACTTTAACTGCCGTTAATAGGCATATCCGATTTGCTGGGTCTGGTATGTCGTCTGAAATTATTTTGTCCTGATTGTCTCCTTAGTGCCATAACAATTAAAAAAGAGTAAGGATGCAGATGTTAATTATCAAAAACAGCTGGTCATTGAGAAAAACGTGGCCACAGTGAAACATAGGGCCAAAGTTCTAACAAGTAAATCGCACCATGAGCTGCTAGAGCCAAAAGCGCTTCGTTCATAAGATTCGGATGACACCTCTAGGTGGTACGATATTGATGATGTAAACGGTATCACGGTAGAGTTAGTATACATGGTCATCATTAATCATATGGTTCTTTTGCTGTGGGACAGAGGTTTGGGTTCATAATTGTACTACGTGAAGGTGTCCCTAAATCAAAAGGATTGGTGCCGTATTATTGATTATTCGACATTTTTGTGCTGTCCCACACAGAAACTTTGAGTTACGTATCGTATGTTGCGTCGGTTTGCTGGCACACACAACACTTTCAACAATATATTCTCTCCTCTATCCTATTAAGCACTATTCACGGAAAAGCCGTTCAAGCTGAGCTAGGGTAAGACTAGGGATTGTGTGCCACAGAACAACGTAGTAGAAGTCGAACGGAGAACTTGCGTTGTTGAGGGTGTGATTCGGACACTAATTGGCAATTTCAGTATCTATGATTAGGACTCGGGCTACACATGGCACCAGCTGCCCTCTGACTCCGTTGTCTTAAGACTGCCGTAGCCTTATGCGATCGACTCAATTTGCCTTAAAACTGCGACACGTGATCCTTTTTGTTTAATGTAAAGACCTCCGTCAATAAATACAAATGGATATGCTTTGCTAATCGAATGAGTTCATGGAAAACTCTGACTATCCAAGCCTGGCCTGTCATGCTCCTCAAGATGGGGATCAAGAATGGGAATGCATTACATAGCATAGGACGTGAGTTCCCTTACCGTAAGGTGGAACGCATGCGAGTTGGTACATTCGTATTTGCTTCCTACTTTAAGCGTATTAATTTTGAGATTATAATCAGTGATAGTCATATCAGTCTTTTTAAGAAGTTTTACCGTCAATCCAAAAAAGTTTTCTTTATTTATCATCTAAGTACAGTGTTTCGAGTGTACGTTATTGAAGAACAATAATGAGAAGAATTTTTCTGACTAAAGGCTGAAGCATTATACTTATGTTTCTAATATTTTTGTTTGTGCCTTAGCTCTGTGTTCCATTATGTGCATTTCGAATGCCTTGCCCAGATGCGCATCTCGGGGGACTGTTCGCATTCTGCGCCCGCCGGTCGTTACTTCCTAAACCATTCGTTACACAAGTCGCTTAAACAGCTTGCACAAAAAGGTCGACCTGAAGATCTCATGCGAAAATGAATTATATCAATTATCGACAATGTTTTTTTCCCTAAAAGAGACAAGTACCGGTAATATATTTAAATCCATAAAACCAGATTGTACTTAACGCTGCAATAGGCAGCCATAGAAAAATTGATGGAAAAGGGTAAACTGAAATACAGCTGTCCAGATGCCTATTGTTCCTAATCATGTCTAGGGGAATTCTTAAATATTTTAGGATGCTGTTGTAGCAGCGCTGATAAAAAAATAAAAACGTAGGTTCGAAACTGATAAGAATATTGCGCTTTCATTATAGCCTAAGGATGCAAATATATGTGTATCTTTTGCATTTACTTATATATGAACCTAACTGCAGTCAGTTAATTAGACTACTCGTCTGTAATGAAAAATTCACAAACGAAACAAAAGTAGTGGTCCCTACCTTGAATTAATTCGTGGATTACTTGTAAGGGACAAATGGTAAATTGCATCCACATTGGGTTTTATGTCATAAATGAAGCCTTGAAAGAGTATTTGCTCGAACTTATGTGAACTAGTTTCATCTGTATGTGGGCAAGATAGCGTAATTGTTGCAGCTTCCCAAATCTTTTAGGAAACCCGTTCGCCAACCTGGCGTAAGAAAGTAATTACTGACGGTCTTACTTTTATTAATACAACAACTTGCACATGTGCTGATGCTTAGTTAAAAAAAATAATGTTTTTTAGAAGTTCAGATTGATCCAATTATTTGTAATTAGTACTTACCTACTTATCGAGTCTCCTTATTCAATCGCCCAGTGGAGTTCACATCATAACGTGCACCTATGGGTGTATAATATTATGTATAATATGTATAGCATATAGTATTAAACGTGTCTCAATTAAACGTGTGCATATTCTGAGCGTATTTGCTAGTAAGTTCCAACCAGCCACTGGCGACAAACGAATTGCTAAATTTTTTATTATATCAAATCTTAATTTCTAGCCTACATAATATCTATTCATAATGTTACAAGCTTGAGTTTTCTTAACCGTTTCAACGATAGTTAAATATATCGCAACCAAACAAAGCTGGTTTATATAAAGGAAACAGCGAAATATAATGCTATGTATTTGAAGACTCTCAGCCATCGTCTTGTGCGCACAGTAGAGTGAAGGTAGGCCTTTAGGACTGTTACCAACAATAGTTCTAGTGATATGCTCGATGATTTGCAAGGTCTTCAGCAAAGAAGTTACTAGGACGATTTCATGTGTCTACATTACTTTCATGTTTCTTCAGCCACGAATCACTGTTTGACAAGTTCGATTGTAATTCTAGTTGTTTCTATGAGGTGTTGTTTTTATACGGATTACAAAATATCTTCCATTGTAGCTATCAGCTAGCTAACCTCGATGTCGTTTATGTGCGCATTTACCGTAGAAACACTTTTAAGCGCAGAGTTAAATCATAAACGCACCTCTGGTTAGAAAAGTTTGAGTGAGGCGTGCCGTTATGAGCGACATTTATTAAAGGTAGGCCGAAAAATGGTGAAAGAATAATATGGTTTCTTTGAAATAACATTCTAGATACAACATTTTATAGAGCGCATAGAAACATAATAGGGCGCCATGTAAA